AAATAAGGTTTAGTCGGTTTAAAAAAAAAGGAGAGGGTTTCCGAAACCCCACCCCCATGTCCAGATTACTTTCACTTTTGAAAGACCTGCTTTCGAAAATGAGATTGGATGATATACAAATTCCAGCAGAATTTACATATCCTCTTTTGAAAATAAAGCGTAATCTAGTCATAGAGTTCCAGTAAGAATTCAAGCTAAAAAAGGAAGTTGGGGCAACCAGGAAGGAAGCTGCTGTGCCTCAGAAGTAGCTGTCTCTTTCTTCAGAGAAGCATAGATCACAGGGTTTAACAGATGGGTGATGACTACAGGGTAGAAGGCAAAGATAAACCCTGATCTGGAGTCCAGCCTTGTTGGACTGCTATAAACAAACAAGGCCTTTACAAGAAACTGAGACTGAATGTTAATGGAAGACCCCACACCTGAGAACCTGGAAAGGTTGTATTAAGGTTCCAAAGCAAGAAAAGGATTGTGGGAGGAGAAGAGCCTCTGAAATTAACCAAGTGTGATCCCAGCCCATTTATTACATTTACTGACATTGGCTTTTGTGAAACCACTTGTGGAAGTATTATGATTTCCTTTGAGTGAAGATACGAGAATTTAGCTCTGGTTTTGTGTGTCATGGAGGCACATGTCTTTGATGATTGATTTAGTGCTTTTGAGTGGAAAATATATTGAACATACAAATTTAAGATTGTTGAAAGAACAAAAACATTTCATTTTGGGTGTATACAGATGTCTTGATTAGAGCTGTGCAAATAATTTTTTTTTTTTGTTTGCTAAGAATTCTGGAAAATGAAGAAAATAAATTTCCCTCATATTGAAAACAATTTATGTTTAAATATTTCAGTAATTTTAAAAAGTCAAAATTATTTTGTGTTAGGTCAAACAAAAATATTTCATTAACTTTTTAAAATTAATTTAATTTTTAAAAAATACAATTGAAAATAAACAGTTTCTTCAGACTGAAACAGCAAAAGATTTCATTTTGAAAACATTAAAATAAAATGGTTTGAATTTGCTAGAATTTTTTCTTTAAGCACAAACGATTTGAGAGAACATTTTTCCAATCTCTAAACTCACCATTACATTTACTTTTGATATTTCAGAGAAAACAGGGTTTTTAAAAAACACATTTAAAGGCAGAAAAGGATAAAAATTAAAGTAGACTTTAATCTCTATATAAATGGCAGCTCCATGTTCCTGAAAATATGAATAATTGTATACGATAAATGTACATTATCAAAATTAGTGACAAGTTGCCAAAAATTGCATGTAATTGCTTACATTTCAATTACACTACCAATAGATAGACACTATATATTTTTACAGTACATCTTATCATTGTTTAGGTTTGGATATTATTTTTGCCAATAGTAGCCTGTGGTTACCATATAAAGTATAATTTTATAATCATGTAATTTGTGAAAATTACTCTTTATAAACTTTTCATAGTTTTATAAAGTACTTGCCAGAAACACTATGAAATTTGTAAGTCATTGATCTTTTTGAAAACTCAACCCACTTCCTTCTTTCTTTTTTCACCCTCTTTCTCTCTGCAGTTTGTTCTCAAAATGCAGAATAGTTGCTGAGAAACGCTGTGGAAAGTGTGGACAATCTCTGTATTCTGCATCTTGGAAAAAGTGTGTTCCCTTGGGGAAGTAACCTATTGGACGCATAGGCTTAGGAACATCTTTCCAAGCTGTTTATTGCAACGTTTAGTTCTACAATGTCTACCCTGTAACATACTATCTGGAACCAGAGGTTTCTTCAGCAAGAGGAACATTAGGTGTTGCAGTTATCTTCCAACTTCCATAGAGCAAGGACTCTTAACATGGCTCTCACTGGTTTGTATGCAGCTTTGGGTTTACTGTTTGGAGCAGCAACAGCATTTGGTCCAGTACCAAGAATTACATGGGAACACAGAGGTAAGAATAAGGATATATGTAGTGAAATGTATAGAATCTCTATAGTTTGTGGGTGTCTATGTAATTTTTTAAAACAGTTTGTAGCAGGAAGCTGACCTGATATAAGGTCTGCCAGCCTCTTTAACTCCCCAACCTCCAATTTAACAGAGACTTTGATTAGCTGTTGCTGTTTATGAAACTTGAATGATCAAGGCTAAATTTTTTCAAAAGTAATTTATGATTCTGGGTGTCCAACTTGGGATAATTTAAATGGGCCTGGTTTTCAGAAAAAAGCTAAAACCTGAATACTAAGCCTCCTGAATTTTTCATTTCAGTACCCTAAATAGGAACCCAGAGTCAATAGTCACTTTTGAAAAGCATGGGCTAAACTTTCACCATAGAGGAAAAAGAACAATATTAAAATGTTTAATTGATTTGTGCTATGAAAAATATGCTAAAGCTGCTTGTTTTGCTTCTTGATATGACAAAAATTGAAAATTTCCTATGATGTGTCTTCATATGTTACAGAAGGTGACACCTCCATGTATTTCTTTTATCAAGCATCATTACAGAAATAATAAGTTCTAGAATGTCAAAGTTTTCTATACTAGCAAAAAGATTGGTCAATTTATATTTGATTTAGACTAATAAAGACTCTCTAAAACAAATGTGACGCTGCAGTGGTCAATTTATATTTGATTTAGAGGGTCTAATAAAGACTCTCTAAAACAAATGTGAAGGATGCTCCCCATTGATTCCGGCACTCCTTAATTTGCGAGGAGTAAGGGAAGTCAACGGGAATGGTTGCTTCCATTGACCTCCCACTGTGAAGCCGGCGTGAAAAATCGAGTTAAGGTACTCTAGCTATGCAATTGATGTAGCAGGAATTGCATAACTTAATTTGAACTTCAGGATAAGTATAAACATGACCTTAGAGCATTTAATAGGTAACCTGTTAATTCAGATGTTTGCTGCAAAAAATCTGTAATATACAACTAATATGGATTTTTTTGTTCAACCCACTGTTATCTCTAACGTGACTTAGCTGAGTACGGAAAAGTGGCTGCTTCCTTTCAAGAGAGTAAATCCTTGTCTGTCAAGTGTCATAGCCACTAAGCTATTTGTGTTGATACATAGACAAAATTGAGTTTAGGGAGGCCCTGGCAGGTTTTTTTTGGTTAGCAGAGTCACTGGGTTCTTTTAGGGAGACCTATATACTGTACATTTTCCGAGCAATGATGAATCCTTTCGCAGGATTGACAGGGAAAAGAGACTAGATAAGTGCATTTCATGAACAAATAGTAATGAGAAATTGTCCATAGGTTTAGTTGGATATTGATAAAATAAGATCCCGGACAAAACTTTTAAAGAATTATTCACATTCTTGTTAACTAGCAATCACGTACAATAACTCTGGTTAGATCTAAATCAAATCCTGTCAGAGATGTGTGGCAGAATTTTTCAGACAAGACCTAATAGTAGTGCTATTTTAGTTTGTGGATGGAATTGTAAAATCAGTTCTCTACAAAGCAAGTTGCCCTTTTTACAACTCTGGAACATAGCTTGTTGTCCTTGCACAATAAATATTGTCCTTTTTTTAAAAAAAAAACCACTTATACTTACATTACATAATATAACTTTAAGTGTAGTGTGAACACAAGACAAAGTCCCGTTGATTGAAATAATACCACAGTAGGCATAATGTCATGTGAGTAGAAATATTTTGTCAGTGCAGTCATCTTACCATTCAAAATCTTTTAGCAACTGTTGGAGTGTCTCAATGTGTAGTATTGTATGCTTTGCATAGCCATTTCATTTACAATTTCAATTGGTCCTAATCAGTCCCAAAGTCTCTGAGATCAGTTCATTGTTCATTGAAGCATTGTTCCTCCCTTCATATTTCTCCTATGTTACTGTTGATGAAAAAGTAATGCACAAAGTTAAATTCATATTAAGGGGAAATCTTTGTGGAAATGTGAGGGAAGGGTGACTTTGCAGGTGCCTAGATATGCATTCCTTTTTGTACTTGAAGCTAAAATTCTTAAAGTCCATTCTTAAAGCCTGATGAAATAGAGGTTCTTATAACTCATCTGGTTTGTGAACTTGGGTAAAAATCCATATCTCAGTCTAAACTAGCAAATACATATTTGATACTTTCCCTATCTGCCATGTAATGGTATGGCACTGGAACATAATCCAACTTCTTCATTGAGCTGTATTTTGTATATCCATTATCACATTTAGTACTTACAACCATTCTGATTTCCATTAGCAAAAAAGGAACAAAAAATGGGGTAAAAAAGTAAACCCGTGGAATTCTACATATTCTACATATTGCCCAGGGCTTGAATGATTTTTGGAACACTGATAGTAAGACAATAAAATATGTTGAGCTGTTATGTGCAATATCTATTTGACATTTTTCTCTTAGATAGCATAAAGATTGTATTTATTGGGCAAGGAAGGAATCCTGAATGAAGAATACCATTGAGTCCTTGACTCCTCCTCACTGCACAACTGATAGTTGCCTGCAGTGTGTAGCAAAGCAAACTTATAGTGATGGAAGAAATATCCATAAGCACAGATAACAAGTACAAATGAGTTTATTGTAGGAAAATATAAATGGACATTAGGACCACAATAAAATGTTGGCATAAGGCTCTGGAAATATTTTTAATGTTTATTGGCATTAAAGTGCCAGGAAACACTCATGTATACAATTTATTACCTTGGAGGGAAAAAAATGATGTATGAAAGCTTTTGTATCTCTCATTTGGGCACACAGGAGCTCCCAAATAGCAGTCACTACAGTTGTTTCCCATGGTTTGATTTAGCACTGATCTATATCCCTTGCCTTGAACACAACTGCTCCTCTGTTTCCTGTCTAATACCATAGTGCCTTGTTTTTCCATTAGGCACAAATCACTTTTAATTTTACATGTCAGTCTTGGACATGTTGTATGGAGACACATTCTTATATTCACATTTCACTAAGAAGGGGAAATGTTAGTTCATTGTGAGGGGGCCCTGGGACATCCTTTGAGAAAATATTTGAAGCATCAGATTCAGTTGTCTGCATTATGGAAGATACAGATTGAACCTCTAAAATCTGTGATTCTCTGGTCTGGCAACATCCATGGTCCGGCAGGATTGTGAGAGAGCCCTGGCTGGCCTGGTTCAGAATCGCAGCTTGGGGTGAGGAGAGCAGCCCCAGCGGGGCATGGTGATGGTGAGCACAGCCCTGACTAGGGCTGTTAACCAGGAGCATAGGGCCAGCTGTAGCTAGAAGCCCCGGGGCTAGCAGCCAGGAGTGCAGCCATGGCCTGGGCTGGTGAGGTGCAGGGGTACAGCCCCATTTGGTGCTGAAGGTACAGTCCTGGCTGGGGCTGACGGCAGGGCTGGAGTCAACAGGGCCAGCACACTGGGTGCAGCGTGGGGGAAGACGCGGCTAAACTCAACGCGGCAGGCAATACGGAGTGCAGCCCCATTTGGGAGCAGAACCCTACACCAGGGTAGGAAGCCTTGACCTCCCCTCGTCTGGAAAATTCTGTGGTTTGGGACCACTCAAATCCCAACGGTGCTGGACAAGGGAGTGTCGACCTGAACTTTAAAGCCAATAGAAAACACAAGTTTCAGAGAATAATATGTACAGGTCCATACCTAGTGTTTATTTGGAATTTTCTGCTTCATTGCTAAATTAGGTTATGTTTAAATATAAATGTGCACCAAAGTCATATGGCCCCAACCAAATGTGCACATTTCAGTTGAGCTCCCAGTTCAAATACACACAACAGCTATACATTAACATTGAGGAATATGTTAAAATAAGACAGGTTAATTTCTCTCCATCAGTAATTAATGGAGTACTTCCATGTTATCCTCCTATCTACAATAGTTTCCCAAGTCAGCAGACCTAATCTACAATGATATCCTCTATATTTAAAATCCAATAATTTTGTATATTGCTTACTTTTCATTGACTTTCTCCAAAATCATTTACAAATTCTCATTGGTTTTATTCCTTATTCCACTTCCTTTCCATGTTGGCCTGTTCTTCTACTTCAGACTTTCATATTGTTTTCCCTCCAGTTAGCTTTTCTTTCCTACATTTTTCTTCCTTTCTTCCCATTGCCAGATCTTTACCCCAAACTCTACTGCCAGCCCATAGTCTGCAAAGGGTGCCTTTTAGCATCTCTTCCCTCTTTCTCCCACTAATTGGGTTAGGGATTGCTTACAATTTCTTCTAATAGGGTGAGGGATTAATTCTCTTGGTAAAGATTTATGTAGTAGGGAATATGGCAACTTTCTGTGTCACTCAAATACAGAGTGAAAGTGAGGAAAAGAGGGATAGAAGGAAGGATCTACTAATAAACATGGGGTATGGTAGAAAGGGTAAAGCAGAAAAGGGACAGAAGGGATTGGAAGAGGGAAAAGAAATGAGAAAGAGAAGACAAATTCCTAGGAATTAAACATGAGCTTGAATGGTCATTAGTTCTACACACAGAAAATTTCTTCATTATGCTAAGGTCCACAGAGGAAATGTTTTTCCCATCTCATGAATATTTTTGAGAATTGGAATTTTTGTTCTCAGTCTTTCATAGAGACAAAAAGTTAAAATCTTTAAATACCACCTTAGCCCTATTTGAGTGATTTAAAATGTTTTAATAATTTTGATTTTGACTTAATGGTCTAATTAGTTTACACTTTGAAACAAGTCATTCAGAACCAGAAAATGAGAATATTTTCATTGAGAAAATGTCAAAATGTTTTAGCAATATTAGAAATGTTTTCTCTATGCTATTTCAAGTTAAATAATTAATTGAATACAGGCAGTCCCCGGGTTACGTACAAGATAGGGACTATAGGTTTGTTCTTAAGTTGAATTTGTATGTAACTCGGAACTGGCTTCAGATTCAGCTACTGCTGCTGAAACTGACCAGGGGCTGACTACAGGAAGCCAGAGGCAGAGTTGCTCTGCCCCCAGCTTCCTGGAATCAGCCATTGATCAGTTTCAACAGCGGCTGAATCTGGAGCCTGAGACAGAACCAACCCGGCAGCACCCCAGCTGACAGCACCCCCCCGCCCCCAGCAGACCAG